TTATCTCTTATGGGCCCGAAAAGTTCCGTTATTCTCATATCAATCAATCGTTCATTTTGAAATTTATCCATGGGAAAGCAACTAGCCCAAATTATTTTGAGTTTTATTTCAATTATGACGGTCTCTGATACTGAAGACGTCACAATTTTCAGTGTGAAAAAAAACAAGATTTCAGATGAAAATGGCAGATGAAAAAAAAAACACGGAACAAAGAGATTTGTTTAGTTAATCATGGCGAGATTGGACCTTTAGGAATTCTCTTTTCCTAAGACAATTATCTTTCTCTCGGATCTATCTTTAGAAATTGAATATACTCATATTTCTTTTTTTTTTGTGTTTTGCTTTGCATCTTCTTCATCTTCAAAAGTCACTGAAACGTATCGAGTGACTACACAAAAATTTGGGATATGTGCCAATTATAGAGTCATCAGAAAGATAGGAAGAGTTACGTGACAAGTGATACTTCTCTGAAAAAATGAATATTCCAGTTGATCAGGGATAACACATGGTTCTAGTGGTATGTTATTGTCCTTCAGTGATAAGGGGGCGTGGCCTAGTTCCCTTTTCCTTAGAGTGCAAAAAAGTTCCTGTGAGATAATAACAGTTTTTGTACTTTCCAGGTTACCCAAAAAAAAACAAAAAAAATTTGATCCCGGAACAACCCGAGTCGAAAAAAAGTGGGCGGAGCCTCGGGGCGGGTATAAAACGAAACGGGTATTCTCGTTTCGGACTTCCGTCCGCTCCCGTTTTTCTTCTCCTTCTTTTTCGTCTTCACGGCTCCCAATTTCCTGTTGATTGGGAGACGGGAAAGATGGGGTGGGAGACACTACTCGGGGTTTCCCTTTTTCTATTTTTGAACGTTTTGGGTTTTCAAGAAGGGTTTTCATTGCACATAGTTCCTTTCTATCTCTTTGAAATCTGAATTGCTTTTCGAATCGGTATTTTGAGGCTCCACGTTTTAAGGTATCTATGCTTCGGGTCATCTACTATTCGATACCGTTTAAAACCCGTCCAATAAGTTTCCCTGTTTGACTCAAATTCCAAAGTTAGGAACTCTTGCTTTACAGGTTTTACAGTAATTTAAAATTGTTCTCTACGTCTTTCATTATATTACACTGAGATTGTACTCTTTTGCTCCCAATTTATTTGTTTTCCATCGGCCTGAAACTTTGCCACACCATTCTCATTGGAGCGCAACAGCATACAACAATACTGTTACATGTCCAAAAGTTCATCTCCTTCTTCAAATTTTCAGAACTACATTCATAACTAGTTCTCGCTCTTTTGACAGAAAATGTGACAAGTACAATGACTTGAAACTTTAAAGAACCAAAACCGAAACAACTGATGGTCATCCAGAGACATCTTCTTCTTCTTTTCCGTTCTGTGCCATCTGCCAATTAGGCTTCTCCGTCCCCAAAACTCGTTGCGTGCCTCCCCCTAACTTCTGCGCCTGCCCTTTATCACTTTTTCCCCTTTTTGAATTTCTTGGAATCCCAAGAAAGCATTGAATCATACTATGAAGTCACTCATCCATGTTGTTTTCATATTTTTCACAAAAAACAACCTTTTTCTTGTTATCGTTTTCTTTTCATTCATTTTTTCCTCGAAAGAAAGTATGAACCTTTGATACATGTATATTTTGATACATGGTGTGCGCACACCAACTTTGAGAAAAAGCCGACAAATTTGATTCTGTGCGTATTCTTCGTATTTCCCTTTATTTTCCCTTATGGATGACAATAACAGTCAGCATTTGTAAAATTTAAAAAGTGCATTTTTAAAAAGCTTTCAAGACTTTTTGTAAATCTGAAAAAAAAGAGATTTGATAATTAGTATTTTTGAAAAGAGTCCATATGGAATTTAACAGACAATCACTTCCTTGTTGGCGAGAGGAATGTCATATTTTGATATCAAAATACTATTCATATTTTGACAAAAGCTCAATAGTTACACCGACGAACACAGGGTTTTTTATCTTTGCAATCTCGCTCTATTGATAAGGGGGCGGGGCGAAGCTTTTTCAAATTTTCAAAAATGAAAAAATTCTCCCCTAAAACGAGAGATTTTTTTCGGTGAAGAGACGCAGGACATTTCGGTAAAGAGACTATATTTCGGTGAAGAGACGCAGACAAATCGATGGCTGAGGATCAAACGTTTGATCCTCAGCCATCAATTTGGCTACGGCCCCGCCCCTTTATCAATATAGCGCATTTGCATAGCTAGTTGAACAAAACACAGTGGACGAATAATATTTTGAAAATTGTATGTTCTCGATCGTCTGAACTTATGATGTCTAGTTATTCAAATCAAAGGTTAGCATGTCTGACATTTGAAAATAATTTTCAGGCGGTAAATTGTTGTCTGAAATTGTTGTCTGAAAAATAACTGTTAGAGAGAAGTGCATGGCGAAGTGTATAAGAGGATATCTCGTAGCAAACGACAAAATAAACTCTGGCACTCGGTTGTCAATTCCGATCATTTTGGGTGATGTAAAACATACCTGGATTGAGAACTTTGCATTCACAGAACTTTTTGAAAATTCCTAGTTTTTCAGTTATTTGCCATTTTCTGAAAGACACTTCTTCTTTCCTGTTTTTGTACTGAAATCGTGAAAAAATATGTGTCTTTCAAAAATCGGAAAATATCATAAAAACTAGAAATTTCCCAAAAATTCTGTGAATGCGAAGTTCTCGATCTAGATCTGTTTTACATCCTCCAAAAGTTTCGAAATTATCGGACACTTGACAGTCGAGCTCCAGACTCCTGAAAATCGTCAAAATAGCCAAAAAAGACGCAGTGTACCGTCTTAGCGTAAAAATGCTTTATTGACCTACCTGGATTTGAGCTAAGCCATGCTCTGCAGTCTAGGATTCATGACCATTCAAATTTTTTTCGATTCGGAGACCACTTTTTCTAACTCTTGCTCACTGCTCTACCAATTTCAGTGATTGGTCTTCTTCGCATCACATTTCTAGACAGAGTGTAAACTTGATTCCTTTCTCTTTTTGTTTTGGTGGTCCCTTCCCATGGCATCACTTTTTTTCCTTAATTCTTCCATTCCGTATTTCCAAACTCCGATTTCGGAGAACGCTCTCTTTGGATTTTATGTCATCCTAAGGAACAGGACTCAAACTCGCCCACAAAATGAGAGAGGAGTCCAATCGAGCAAAAAAGTTTAATTTCGAAGAAAGGACAATTTTGGGGAGACAAAGTAGAGATGGCGTGAGAGAATGGTCCCGACAAAGGGAGAAGAATAGATTGCGGAAGTTCTTTTTAGATCCCCTTTTTTCGGGCACCGGGATTATGTAGACTGACTTCCGGGGGCATTCGGAATGTCACTGATGGAGGAGGACACGAGAAGCTTTGTTAGGAAGAGAGGCAAAAAAGGACAAAACACGAGAGAGCAAAGTATACATAAACATAAAATGATTGTTACCCCATGCTGACCTGAATGTCGAAATTTGTTTTTCCCATATATAGCTCCAATGTGTATAGCTATAGCTCCAAGTTTCCGTTAAGTGATGTGTTTCTTGTTGGGAACTTAAACCAAGTATTCGGAAATTTTTTCTCGAAATTTTTTTTCTTGACCGAGTGTGGCGAGCTCGGCCCCTCGTACTTGTAGTTTTTAGACTTTTGATTGAACGCAGGATTACAGCGACTGGCTAAGAAGTTCTAGTATTTTGGGATAATTTTGTAGAGTCCCGTTTCTTCAGTAGTCACAATTTAAAATTGTTTTTGTATATCAAAGAGCTCAAAGTTCTGCAAGGATCCTGATTACGTAAATAGTTCTCGCATCACTGCACCTTGAATAGAGATACAACCAGATTTGCTCAAATTTTAAATAGGAATTTAGAAAAATTGCAGAAGTTATCAGTGGATATTTTCTGTCGATGTCAATTTCTGTAGATCAGAAAACTTGTGTTTTAACCTTCCGGCATTTTAACAAAGTTTGAGATTACAGTGCCCACTTTTACAGAGTGACGCATAATCACCCGGATTGATCTAAATAGGAATATCTTCAGACACAAAAATTGATAGAAATATAATTTTACATTTGTTTCAAAACTACTGAAATTTTGAAAAAAAAAATCCTCAAGTCTAGGTATTGTTATGATCGTCCAAAGATGAACGGTGTAATTTTCATGAGATAGAGCAACTTTGACATGCGATATCTCAGCTCAAAGTTGATAGAATAATTTGAAATTTGACTAGTATATTGATGGATTATTTGAACTCACTCACTCCAAACTTGAGCCCAGTACAACGCTTTACTCGAACTTTACCACTAGTGCAAACATTAGACCACGCGCCACCCTGTATAGTCCTTGCTTCCGATATTCCCACGATTACATCCCGTCACCTCAATGAAATAATGATAAGTATGAAAATGTTGCGAATACTTAATTATAATGTACTCTTTTTTTATTCTCACATCGATTACGAGTAGAGTTTAGTCTTCTGAAAAGATTTCCCGACCTCCCCAACTCTCCTGAAGACCTCACGCCGTGATGCTCACGGTTTCCCAAAAAAAAAAAAATGAACACAAGGTTTCCTAAAAAGTTTCCCACGGTCTGACGACAAATTCCTCTTTTCTCGTTGAGTCATATTCACGCGGTCGCGACCTCTTCTAGTTGAGCCAATTTAACATCTCTTTTGTCGTTTTGATGGTCTCCTTTTGTGGATGAAACACACTTCTTTTTTCTCGTTTTTTCTGGTACTCACCAGACAAAAAAACATACTACGTTCTCTCGTCGAAACAAAAAAATCCCCGGGTTTACCATAATGGCAACTTCCCGATTACCTTTTTTCTTCTTCTTTACTCGTTTTCCGTGTTTCCTATACGTAATCCATCATAAGACAAAGTACATTATGGATCACAAAACAAAACCGATCATTGTCTTTTTTGGCGTTCTTTTCTGAAAGTTTTCTTGTCTGAAACTGACAGCTTCATCTGTTTTCAGATCTATTTCCTTTGTTTCAGAACTCTGCTCTGAGCTATGATGGGTTTGTTGTCGACGATTCGTGGGAAGAAGGAAACAGTGATTGGCAATGGAATTGGGTCAGCACAAGTTGGTCCATTGAACGCCAAGACAAAGAAACTTGTGATTCAGGAGTGGCCAAGGTTTGTCTGCAGAAAAAGTAATTTAGAAGATTGCTTGGGAATGAACTTTTTTATTTCAGAGTACTTGCTCAATGTCCAGAGCTCTTCACAGAAATTTGGCACAAATCGGCGACTCGCTCCACTTCAATCAAGTTGGCATTCGGAATTGCAGAAAACGAGAGCCCAATGCAGAATGCTGCTTTCTTGGGACTCTCCTCGACCATTCAGGCGTTCTTCTATAAACTGGTAAGACATTTGAAAACAAAAAGGGCGACTTGAGAAACTCCAACTATCTTGCATCTTTTTTCCAGATAATCACATACGAACTGAACGATGATCAGGTCAGAGAGGCATGTGAGCAGTTGGGAGCACGCCACGTAGATTTCATCTCTCGTGGATTCAACTCCCACTTCTGGGACATCTTCTTGGTTTGCATGGCCGAGAAAATCGACGAGACATTGTCGTCGTACATGATCGAAGAGGACAAGAAAAACGAGATGATCTTGGCTTGGCAAAGGTACTTTTTTAATCAAAAAATGAGTCTTCAACACTCAAACGGGTTTCAGAGTCGTCAATTGCATTGTTCATCAGATGAGAAACGGATATTCAGATCGTCGAAAACAACAACTCGGAGGATCAAAAGGCGGCGCTAATAATGGATTCTAAACTGTTTGGAACTAATCATGATGAGCAACAAATCCTAATGTTTTCTTCCTTTTATCTGATTTTTTGCCGATTATCTGTCCAAAAACTGTACACAACGATCTTTTCTCTTATAAAATCATCAATAAATCATATATTCCTTGTACTGCCTGCTCATGAAAAAATTCATTATTTGGAAAACCCGAAGTGTTTCATGGAAAACAATTATTGCTTTGAGAATTCGTTAGTTCCCACCGAATCCACGTTGGCAAATGAGCTGGAGCATCGTTGGCAGAATCTGACTTGATCTTGAGACTTCCATGGAGCCTCCTTTCCAACCATTCCGTGCATTCTCTTCTCTCCATTTTCCATTTTTCCATAAGCAAAGAACAAATTGTAACGGCCAGATGAAATCACATGCATCTGAACGAGAAAAAATGTGGATTTACAGTGAAACTGTAATACATAGAAGGGGGCCGTCTATTGTTCCTCTGGAGGGCATTTCTATTACTTGGACTCTTCTAATACAGGTTTTACGGTAAGTGAGAGTAGGAGCTTACCAATTTTCTCTCGTTGTCATCCAAATGAATGTTATCGAGAATCCATTCTCCTCCACACATTGCCTTCCCATCATTGAATTCTGTGAATCCATCTCGAATCAGCAACTCGGATGCCTGAAATTAGTCGTGGAATTGAGGAACTAAAATGGATTTTACAGTTTTCAAAACGATATTCCGTTTGGCAGTATTATGAGACAACAGAACGCTTCCAGATCCAGTGGAAGGGAATTGACATTCAAAGACTGTATCGTTTCCCTAAAAATTGAGATAATTATGTGCTAATTTTTTGCGCCTACCATCAATCCATCCTTTGAAAATCCGATTCCCAACCACATATCAGGCTTCACAAGTTTGCTTTCAATCTCAATTATCAGATGTCGTCGTTCGTGCTTCCACGTCATCATAGTTTGGCAATCACTGGCATCTTTGCATCCGTTTGGTAGTTTCCAGCATCCTCTTGCTGTTCCACAATCACTGATATGAGTTACATGAAGAGTGTAGACGTGAGAAATTAGAAAAGAGAAAAAGAAGAGTAGGAGAATCATTTCAATTCGAATTCTGAATTGAGAACAATTTCCATTTATAGGTATGTGTTAAGCTGGAAATGTCTTGAAATAACAGAGGCGGACAATGGTCGTGTCGTTTTCGCCAAAGTTGTCATTTTATGATAACTGGTTTCTCTTGATAGTTCTCGTTTTTTCAAGACACATTATTTATTTGTTAGAACACATTATACAAAAAGGAAATTCAATTTGGGGAAAAAAGAGGGTTTGATAACTTTCTTATTTCTGCTCTTCTGGCTCATCGTCTTTGCATTGTGTTGCCAGGAAATCGCGAACTCCTTTGCTGATACCTCCGGTTGCTTCCTCGTGTTTCGCAAAAATCTCAAGATGAGCTTTTCCTTTCCACACGAGTCCACATCGGAAATTATCATCGTTCTTTGTCAGGAATTTGTAAACTTTGTCGAGGCAGTCATGAACTTTGCTCAATGAGACGAGTGGCAAGGGTTTCATCATTTTGGAGACATCTTGGAGAGTGTAGATTGCTGGTTTTCCAAAGTCTCCGTTTCCCTTGAACCATCCGAGAAGCTCCTGAAAATTTTTGGAATTATTTCAGATATGATAGAGCAACTTTTTGTTCGTTTTAGTTAAGTTCTAATAGATTAAGCTCCCTTAAAAAATTTATCAAAAAAACCTACATGATTGGCATTGGTGAAAAATAGTTGTGCCCAAGTAAAGAATGGGAATCCGGCTCCTTGTGGATAAGTAGTAAGGACTTGAAGTGGAACATCATGTGGTACTTCTCCATAGTTGACAATCTCGATTTCCGGATTGATATCACTTTTTGTCTTCTCCGGCAACACTTCCGACTTGTCCACTGGAACTCTGCAAACCGTTTAAATTAAATTCTACCTTTCATTTAAAAAAAAACGAACGGGGTAGATTTGACAGCTGCATAATCAGCACAATCGACTTCGTATCTAACGAGAATTCTGAATTGACCATATTGATAAGCGACCAGTTGGAAGAATGGACCCGTTGAATGAGCGCCGCGTGGACGAGTCATTCGAGATTTCAGGTTTTGATCGAATGTGACATGCCCGATCTCCATCAAGTCAGATGCTTCCATTCTAAAGAATTTCATCTTATTTAAAAAACAACGATCAATTAGGTGTTACCTGGTGAGCAGAACAGTTTTTCCGACACGTTCACAGTCGATACGGAACAATCCTTCTCCGGCTTCATTACAGAAAGCAAAAATCTTTTGAAGATTGATAGCGTCAGTGATAAAATGGAATTGAGAGAAATCGATTGGCTTCTTTTTCTTTTCGCTGAGCAGACGAGCAGCGATAATGATGGCGTCCAAAGATCCTTCTCGAACCTGCAAATATACTTTACTTGAACAGACTGTGAGATCAAAAGTTGTCGTTCAAATTGACTCCAATTTGGGTCCACTGTTTTCGTATAGACCACAAAAAAGTCAGTCACTATTTTGCACGTTTCCCAAATGTTCTCTCGTGTTTCAGTGTCAACAACTACTCGTGGTGTGAACTCACTTTCATATGATTGACGTCATAAATAACCACTCCATGATCTTGCATCAACTTGCCACCTGGCCAATAGAACGATTCAACCGGGGCTCCGGGAACTAGAATTGTAGCTGTCTCGTCATTGAGATACCATTGGTATGACCCGATTCTATCCACATACTTTGTGCTGGTTGGACCACCCTGAAGGATCGTTGTTTAAGAGTTTGTTTTAAAAAAATTAGCCCCACATCTCAAAACTGTTCCATGAAAACTCAAATTGACAAAAATACTTCAAAAGAGAGTTTTTCAAACTTTTAAGTGTTACTGTAATTTTTGAACGAATCCTACCTTTCCAGAGAGGTTAACAAGAGGAAGAAGACCATACGGCTCTTCTTCTAACCCTTCGAATAACCAGAATCCATCGGCTGACATTTTTGCGAACAGCAGCTATACGGCCAGTCTGTCCAGCGATGTGTGTTGTGTTAGAAAAGAAGAGGCCATTCTCTACGGATCCCTGACGGACCGAGAGAGGCAGCGAGAGAGCAGATGAGGGGGTGTTCCCGAAATACGAATAGTATAGAAAATCAGAGAATCAGACAAGATTACAATGCGGGGGAGAAGCAGATCCCCGCTGGTGCTCTTCCTCCCTCTCAAAAGTTTCGAAACACCGATGATGATGACGGGATCCCAAAGAGATTTTGAAAAAGAAAAGAAAGAAGAAAATGAATAGATTTTGTATAGATTGGTAGAGAGAAGGACCACCGGAGAAGAGTGACCACAATACATGGATTCTTTGATCCGTTTGATTAGGGTTTAAACTTCATACACTTGTTTGATATAATTTTTCAGGGGGTATAAATGAAAAGTGTTGAATCCAGACAAAAAAGTTTTGGTACCACAAGAGCATCACAGAAACAGTATGACAATAGAGAGAAGAACAGATCCTATTGTTAACAGTTGGAAGTGAAAGGGATAAAATATCCTTGAATTGCATTGAAAAGGCTTGAATGTGGAGCAGAGAATTTAAACACCTAAAAATGTATTTTTTAACTTCAAACCCGTTTATCTCGATTCCTACCAAAGATATGAAAAAATGGTAAACTGATAAACAAGTAGTGAATTTCAAAAGTTTTAATTTTCACATGAAAGTACTGAAATTTCAGAAATTTTTGTGAGCCACATGAATCTTTTGAATCTCCCAAAAGATGGACCGTTAAGTTTTTGGGAGCAACGAGGAAGTTGTCGTTTTATCAGTATGCTGGTGAGGTCTAATAGTGTCTACACCCCAACGGAGATCATCCTCCTCTTTTCGTGCAGTGAGATATGCCCACCGTTTTCGCCTCTAATAATTTCCATTTTTGGACTACCATTTTATTTGTATTTCTATCTGACCTCAGATCAACTGAAATCAATCACCAATTTGTGGAGGTTAACAACGAAGATGCACCCTTTCGAACAAACTTCACAAGCTGGATTCATCAATTTGAAAAATGAAAATTCTCGTTGGACGAAAATCCCCCTCCAAAAAAGCATACGGGCTCAGATTTGGACGCATTAAAAACCGGGATTGAAAGAGACCCGACTCAAACAGTGCGGGATATATCAAGTACATCAGTGGCAAGCCTTTCGTCAAAAAGCCATAAATTGGGAACTCTCGGCAAAGTAAAAAAGTGGGAAGATACACACATGAATGTTGAAGTTGAATCATTACTAGTGGCGATAAATGGGTAATGTATGATTACTATAAACAACAATCCAAGTGGGTTGACAAAGGCACTCAACCACCCAAGGAGTGGAGTACTGAGAGCTGCCAGATAATGGTGTCACTTTTATGACCGATACCTATTTTTGTCAGGTGACATAACTCAGACTCCATGTGGATCTCCATTGGAGAGAAACACAAAGGTTTATTTTCAAAATCGAAATTCGCAACCTCATGCGGGAAGGAGAACGGAGACCGATTTCACTGGATACGGCTAAACGGTTCTGTTTTATCTACAGTATAGTCCAAACCTTGTACTGTCTGACTACCCCCTATCCGGCCATTTCTACCGACATCTTGATTGAAAAAAATTCACTTCAAAGCATGATGTCAAAAATGGGTTGACCTGATTTTCAATGCGCTGTGGTCGGAGTTCTGGAAAGAAGGCATCCACAATTTGGTGGGACGTTGGCAGATAGTCACTGATAACAATGGTCATTATATTCAATTTATCTGACATCGTTTTGACCGTTTTTATATCGAATGAATCTGACGCTAAAAATGAAAAGGACTTTCCGAACAACCTAATAGTATAAGAAATGTTTTGTCAGTTGACACATTTTTGATATCTTGTATAGGAATTGAGATACCGTAAAACCTGTATTAGAAGGACCGACCGTTCTATTAATCCAAGGAACCTCCGGCGGGCCTTTCAATTAGAGAGGCCCTTCTACTTTTCCCACCATTTTTTAAAAGTAACTTTGAAAAACACATCTTGAAGGAAGCCCTTTTATTCTTCCAAGCCCCTCTAGGGGGCCCTTCTACTAGAGGGGCCCTTCTATTACAGGTTTTACTATATTCTTCAAAATTTTCGAATGGACGAGAAGTCTTTTTAATTCCAATACACTTGCTTGGGTTATTTTTTGGTACTTCTAACATTTTTGAGCCAGAGCAACTTCCTGTTTTATGGTTCTCAATATTTTTCTGATAGAGCACATTCTGAAATTCGAAAAATTCCAAAATTTAATTTTTTTAAAATTGTTTTCCAACTTCAAAATGTTTTCTATCAGATAAGCATATTCGAAAGTCAAAACTTCACATTCGCCTGTATTATCATGGTCGCGAAGTCCCGGAGTCTAAAAAAATCCTTAAAATGCATTCTTCTTGTCTTCAATATTTTTTCTTATTTTTTCAACTCCATGTTTTCTCATCTATATGTTCTATTTTTCATAACTCTAATCATGTGATAAGTAATCACAAAAGAGAGTAACTTCCTTTAAAATTCATCTACCCCCGTGTTTTTTCCTCATCTAATCACTACCACTTCTTCTACTTCTTTTTCCTTCGTTATTCTATCTTACTAGCTGATAAAAACATGTGAGTAGAGGATCTGCGTCTCTTCTAGAACCCGATTGTGCTGCTATGGAAATGCATGAAAATCAAGAGAAGAGAGCAGTAGTCGTCTTCTTTAGGAGCAGCGAGCACGAGTGGAGTACCACGTCTTCTCTTGTGTTTTCTTCATCTGCGCCATCAGCATCGATTCGTGTGTGACACTCTTCGAAAGGTCGCACATTTTCCGATTTCCCTTTCTGTCTGTGATATTTTTTAGTTCAGAAGATCTTAATGTCAGTTGACTTTTAAGAAATAATTCAAATCTAAAATCCTGTCTATACAAATGTTTCCCAACATCAGTCCGACCTGTCAAGAAGGAATTCGAGAAGCTTGTGTGACTTTAAGAAATGCTTGTGAGCCTCAGTAAGTTTCAGGAACCATTTCTTATCCTCATTCGTTTTTTTCAAGAATTCTGGATGATGTGGCAGGGCGGATGACAGAATATGAGAGTGAATTCGGCCGAATGTTGTACACAATTTCTATATTAATCATGTTTTCATTTGTTATCATTATGCTGATGGTCAGATCAATCAAAAGAACACATTCTACTGTCGAGGTGAGTCTAAGAAATTGGATTCCTCTTTTTTCTCATTCAAGTTGTGATATCGGAAATATCATATCCCTTTGTAGTCACCTGAAATTTCTATAAATTCAATCAGGGGTAGACAGGAAAATTCAAAAAAGCATGTACTTGAGGCCCGACACTCCAAAAAACTGAAATTGTATCCTTCGGAGTTTTCTTATTGTCCAAATTCCAGATGGACGCTCTTCTAGATGCAATGAGGTTTCGAGAGGAATTAGACATTCGAGATCGACAACGACGACGTTTGATGAAAGCAAAAACAAAGGTGTGTCAGGATTAGAGAAAAAGGATTTCAGAAGATTATAGTTTTTAAGGTGAGCGCATGGCTCAACCGGGATAAAAATGCAACGTCGAATGGGCAAATGAAGAGCAAGAATAGTGAATGGAAGCCTCCTCCAAAGGGAACTGGAACACGACCAAGGGGACATTACAGGTGAAGATTACCGTGAAACCTGTAATAGAAAGGCCCCAAACTTTTAACTTCGAGGCAATTCATCTCGGTTTCTGTGAAGGATATCAACAGTTGACCACTTTTTGATTTAAATGAAATATATTGCCTCCAAGTTGACGGCTTGAAAGGCGTTCCATTAGAGTGTTTAAGGTATTTTGGATCCTGTTCTAAAACTGTTCATTCCAGTATATCCACTGTCACTTCCGATATTCCTGAGATCGTCGTTAGTGCTGATGATTCCGGGAATCCAGGACTATTAATGAGACCACACACTCCGGCCATTTCCTTGATTTACGATTTCGGGGTAGCGTCACCGGATTTGGAAGAAGAACCGGATAGGTGAGAAAAGGGATTATTGAGAAGGAGAGTGCAAGTCAATCTTTGATTTTTTGATGAGTATTCGGAATGGATCTTTTGATATTGAAAAAAACAAGCATTTTTTTTACATTGGAAAATTGGTCAAAATTCGCTATTTTCAAGTTCAAAAATGCAAGTTATTGTAACTTTTTTGAAATTCAAGTTAACACACATTTTTTGTAATTGAAAAATATGAAAAATTTTGTAAGGATCATTTTTGCGGTTGACAAAATTTTTCTAGCTATTTTAGTTTTCGAGATATGCGTATTTGAAAAAGAAACATAGAATTTCAGTTGGCAGGCGGCTAGACCAGCTCGCTTCTCTGTTTTCTAAAATGAAAGTTTCGAGTTTTTAGCATGTGGTTCAGACAAATCCAAAAATCTCAAAACCCCGAAAAAAAAATTAAAATTCCAGTCGAAAACCATCGATAGCATCTTCAACTGCTCTTCCGATGTCATCGTCTTCTTCTTCTTCCTTGGCCTCTTCCATCGAACACAAGCTCAATTCAATCAAATCAAATCCACGTACATTTTCTCTTGACACAAACGCTTCCACATCATCGCGGACCCATCGTGTGGATATCGATGATAAATCATTCAGTTTAGATGTTTAATTGTTTTCCCCCATATTTTTTTGTTTCCCTTCTCTCTTACCGCATCACACTTCTTCACCTATTTGACCTAATTTATCTGTGTTTTTTAATTTTTGGGTTTCTTCATGATGAACTACAGTAATCCACTGACCGTGCGAAGAAGAAATAAAACGATTCTAGAAGCCGAGAAAGAAAGTAATTGTTTCATTCCACCAACTCAAGAGGCAATCTCGCGTCCTCTTGTCATAGACGGGTGCAACATTGGAAGAAGTGCTTCTGGATATGCAAGAACGTGAGTAGAGGCAAAAAAAACGAAGACAATGAGTTTTTGGAAAATGAGCTTAAAGAATGGGCAAACGATTATTAATACTTTGATTTTATGATGCCGTAAAACCTGTAATAGAAGGTCCTCAAACTGTCAAGTTAGAGCTCAATTATCTCGGTTCATATGAGAGATATCAAAAATGTGTCAACGGATAAAATGTTTGTAAAATTATGATAATCAATTTGTCAGTTGACCAAATTTTGATATCTTTTACAGGAACCGAGATCAATCAGTTCAAAGTTAAAATCTAGGGGACCCTTCTATTATAGGCTTCACGGTGGTTCCTTTTTCTGAACAGGGTCATTTGGTTCCACAGATATCTGAAATTTATATAAATTCATATTTTCAGACATGTGGATTGTGCTGGTCTTGTCTCCGTAGTCCGATGGCTTCTTATGCGCAAATTTGACGTGAACTAAAATGTTTTTATATCATGAAACTCAATTTTTTGTTTCAGGTCACCGTATTTCTTCCGGTTGTCTACAACAATATAAATAACTACAATTCAAAAAATGCTGAACTATTGACGGTAAATTCTTCCAGATGAAACCCTCAGACTCTTTTAGTTTTAGAAACTGGAGCAATTGGGCATCGTAACTTTTACTCCAGCTAGAAGTGGGCGAGGACTCAGAAAGTGAGTCACTTTAAGAAAAAGGAAGTAAATCTGGATCTAATTTGTTTTTAGGGCATTCATCAACTACGACGATTTGTATGTGGTTTCATATGCAGCACGACACGGAGGAACGATTTTGAGTGGCGACAAGTTTAAAGATATTCTCAATCAGTCGTGCTACAATGACTTCCACCACGTCATCCGGAATCGAACTGTTGACGTCAGATTCCGACCATTAACTCTAGATTTTGTTGAGTACAAATCGGATAAATTCTATCGTCATGCGCCCGAATTATTCACATGTGAGCCATAGAGAGATATCTATTCTGGGCATCTTCAATTTTCAGATGACCACTCAGCGAATCGTTGTGAATCTTTGCGTCAACGACTCTATGCGTTACCTCATGAACCCGATTATTCTATTGTCAAGAATTTAAAACAACAAGTTACCGATGAAAAAAGAGAACTACTATGTGCCGAGCTTGAAACAATCCTTCTTTCGCTGAGTTATGCAGCTGGGAAAATGTTCCGGGAAGTAACGGAATTGCCATGTATGGATAATGTATGTGTCATCATTCAGTTTATAGAATTTGGATTTTCTTGTTTTTCAGAGATTTCACGGGTTGAGAATCGAAGATGTTGCACCCAAACCGTTTGCTGACGCTTTCTATCAAAAGTTTCGGAACAGAGAACCGAAAAACGAACAGAACCATGAATGGGTTATGGAACCAGTTGTAGAAGTGATTGCTCTGGCGAAAAAGACACCAGAAGTCATAGAGGATACATTTTTGACGCCAACTCCATTACCCCTTTCGAATGAAAGCACTGAAACTGTTGTGGCTGCAAAACTGCCAACGGATCAATCACTGGGGTCACTTCTCCAATGGTTTACAATGGCGGAAGCGGCAAATAAGAATAAAAAGTAGATGATAAAATTTAATATTTGGTTTTTATGTGATAACTTTAATGATAACATAAATGATAACTCTCTTGAATTGTTTCCCGAAATGTTTCGATAAACTTTCGATTCTTCTTTTTTCATGTTTTTGTCTTGTTTCTTCTCACACGATATCTCTTTCAAATGACCTGATGTTGGGTGCACGTGGTGTTGAGAAAGACAGCTGTCAAAGAATCAGGAGAGAAGGATGAGGAGAGACTTTAAACTATCAGGTTATTCTTTTCTCTTCGAGCAACCTAGTGCTTTTCTGCTCTCTTCTCGAAAGTTCTTTCACTTTTCAAATTCACTTTGCAATCTTCTATCTTATCATTATTTTTGAACCAAATAAAAAAGAATGAAATTGACGTTCAAAAACCCCTTCTCTATCTTCTCTCTGCTTCTAATTAAAATTCTCTGCGTTCCGTTGTCATTTATCACTTTCACTTCAAATTGCCATCAATCGTTTCCGTATATAAGAAGATCAAATATTAGCAGGAAAGAGAATCGGTCATTTTGTTTTCTTGTGAATTCAATCTAATCAAAACCATTCTTCTATCTTGTCATGTTTCTTTTTTCACTCCTCTCAACTTTTCTTTCATTTTTCGTGTTCACAGGTCAAAATGGCAGCTGCCCAAATCGACGGAGTTGAAACTGCTTTGGCTGAAAAGTTGGAAGGAGTTTCGTTGGACGAAGTCAAGCGAATTCTATATGGAAGACCATACAAGTGAGTCGCATTTTCAGCTTTCGAGATCTATTACTGAAAACCTGCATTAGATTAGGAACGGCTCTTCTATTGTTGCATTAGGAACGGCTCTTCGATTGTTGCATTAGGAACGGCTCTTCTATTGTTCCGAGGTACCTCCGGAGGGCCCTTCTATTAGTGGGGGCCCTTCTTTTTTCCTGCCATTTTTCCGAAAACTTTCGCTCAAAATTTATGAAAATCAATCAATTTCACCAAAATTGAGCAAGTTTTGAGCAGAGAACTGTGTTTCAACAAATTTCTGTGTTTTTGGAATCTTATTCACGAAAAACGTACGAACGTTTTCAATTTCAAACAACACATTCTGAAGAGGGCCCTTCTATTACAGGGGGGCGCTTCTCTTTTTCCAAGCCCTTTTTGGAGGGCCCTTCTATTATAGAAGCCCTTTTAATACAGTTTTATCGAATATTCGTTTTTTAGGAGCTTGGAATTCTCGGCCGAAGCCACGAAACTCGCTCAAGATGGGGATTTCCAATTGGCTGGATACATTGTTGATGCTCAAAAGGAGCAGACAAGAGCTCCAAGATTGGTGGGTTGGCAGTTTTTGGTCATAATAATTGAAAATTATGTTGTGTCTTTTTCTGCAATTTTTTTTGCAAAACTTGCAAATCAGGAAACATTTGCAGGTCCGTGTGGCAGCTATCCAAAATCGGATTCACCGCCCAACTACTGATTCTGTTGTTGAGCAACGTGATGCTATCCATCAACGTGTCGCAGCTATGATTGAGGCTGCAGCTGCGGCTGGAGCCAACGTCGTTGGACTTCAAGAGGCATGGACCATGCCGTTTGCATTCTGCACTCGTGAACGTCTTCCATGGACTGAATTCGCAGAGTCTGTTTACACTGGACCAACTACTCAATTCTGTCCAAACTTGCTGTCAAGCATGACATCGTTATCATTTCACCAATTTTGGAAAGAGATGAGGAGAAAGATGACGTCATCTGGAACACTGCTGTTGTGATCTCTCATACTGGGCGGGTTATTGGAAGATCTCGAAAGAATCATATTCCAAGAGTTGGAGACTTCAATGAGTCTACCTACTATATGGAGTCTACTCTTGGTCATCCAGTTTTTGAAACTAAATACGGACGTATCGGAATCAACATTTGCTATGGACGCCATCACCCACAAAACTGGATGATGTATGCTCTCAATGGAGCCGAGATTATCTTCAACCCATCTGCAACTGTTGGAGCCCTCAGGTTTGTTGAGCCAAATAATTTCGATTTTTCTGAAAATTTAACTTTAGTGAACCACTCTGGGGCATCGAGGCAAGAAATGCAGCTATCGCAAATCACGTCTTCACAGTTGGAATCAATCGTGTTGGTACTGAAGTCTTCCCAAATGAGTTCACAAGTGGAAACGGACAACCAGCACACAAAGATTTTGGACATTTCTATGGATCCAGTTATATCGCTGCTCCAGACGGTAGCCGTACTCCAGTATGTTGTATTAATAATGGTTATACAGAGGAAGCAATATCAACAGTTTGATAGGTCCACGGGAGTCAAAAATGCTGGACTTTTCTAGGCCATGTGCTTGTCCACGTGGATTCCGAGGCGAGAAGAGCGAGACCCTTGCAAGAAATTCCGGCGCCCTAAATTTTGAAGTGATTTACGAGCTCAAAATTGAAGTCGCACTGAATTTCCTGCTTCCGCAAATTTCTTGGTTTACTTCCCTCTGAATGACCGCATAAGAAAAAATGCAAACTTTTTGTTTTCAGTCTCTCTCCCGTGTTCGTGAAGGAGTTCTTGTGGCTGAACTCGACTTGAATCTGTGTCGTCAGTGCAAAGACGCGTGGGGATTCAGAATGACTAACCGTCTGGACATGTACGCTCAAAAACTGACAGAAGTATCTAACCCGGACTACCGTCCAGACATCAGAAGAGAGCAGTGATTCATTTATTCTTCTTGTTAAACGCCTTTTTCATTTTTCATTTTACTTATTTTTATTCGGATGACTTTTAAGTAATATCATGTGGTCATGTGCCAAGTTCGTAAATAAATTTTTCTTCGAATTTCTTCTGTTGACTCATAAAAAAAAGCTTCCAGGGTCTCTAGAGTCCTAATTGGAAGGAGGATTTGAAAGTAATATAAAATTTACTTTTCAGAGTATGAAAACGGAAACCAAGCGGAAGAGAAAACCAAGTTTTCTTGATTAGCATGTACTCCAAAAAGTTTCGTTTCGTCTTTTTGGTTTATCAGAAAAATAAGTATATCCAACTTTTCATAACATTTTTAAAAAGAATTCTCATTTCCTTTTGTGTGAAGAGAAACAAAAATAGAGACTTCACAATAATATATATCTACCATATTTAGATTTGGTTACTAACAAGCCCACTCAAAAATGTTTGTTGTTAGATTTTTTTTCGAAAAATTTTTGAATGGGTAACATGTGATTTTCTATGATTATGAGTTTGAGCATTTTTCAAATGTCTTTAAATTAGAGTTTTTGAAATGCCAGAATTCTGTGAATAGCTACTACCTTGGTTAACCTTTTATAGTTAAAACTATTCATATCCAGCCGTTTCTGTTAGAGTATAACTTCTGACAGGATCTCTTACGTCGATATCTCCTGGGGGCAGAACAATGACGTCTTCGAAATGTGTCTGAAATCAGCTCATGTTTCATTTTTAGCATTATTGACCGAGTTGTCTAGTGAGCTCAACATTTTCACTTCTAAACATTTTTATCTGTAATATTTATACATTCAACTGATTTCTCTATTTTTTTGTTTTCAAAGTTATTCAATAGAATTTCGTAACCGACAATTAAGCTTTCAAAGGGAGAAAAACTCGTGATAGAATTCAAAGAATCAATTTTTCGTATTTCAAAACTTTCGTTCCTTCATGACTACCAGCAGATTTCCATAGATTTCTATCGTGCTTATTTACAACCCCAAAGCTTGTTTTGTGTTTTTACAGTTGGGCAATCACCCGGACCTATAAAAACGGGTATATCTTTAGACATCAGTATCTTGGAAGCACGAAAGTTGGTAGAAACATAATTTTACTTTCCATGTAAAGCTATTGAAATTTGCATAGCGATTCCTCAAGTCTAACTAGGGAAGGCCCCAACTCGGGTGTGGCGATACGGGTGGTGACCTATATCATCTGAAAGCTGACATTTTCCTGATTCCAAATCTGTTTTCAAAAAGTGCTTTGTCGCGGTAGTTTTCGAGAAAAAAACCTGGATTTTTCATCTCATTTTCCTTCCTCACGTATATAAGTTTTGAAGCATAGAAACAATGTGGAAGCGTCGTCAAATGGCTAGTGAGGAAGAAAATGAAGCGGTTACTCTCTGGTTCGACTCCCTCGAGCTGCTAAACTTTTTTTGAATTTTTTCTTCGTTCTTTCCGGTGACCGTATCTGACTTGTAAAAATGGACATAGGTTATCGAACCTCGTGAAACAACTTTTTTATTTATTCTCTTTGTTTTGAACTAATTCTAGCACATTAAAAAAATTTCGAAAATTGAGAAAATGCCAAGGGGGTACCCCATGAAAATTTTTTCAACAAAATTTGATCCTATATGGTTCCATGTACTTGGAATTGGTTTCCATTTTGATTTTAACTGTTTTCCTATTATTTTCGAAACTTTTTGTTTTCATCTATTTTTCCACCACTTTCAAAGGATTGTGATCCATTGAAGATTTTAGACAAACCTCATATTTTTGATTTTGCTCAAACTATTGTCATTGGTCCTTTTGGGCACGCTGATCACAGAACTGAAGTCAGTTTTTCCACCCCGGCCTTGTGGAAAAAGTTATGAGCTATAAAAGTGACTACAGTACTTTCATAAAGCGGTTACTCTCTGGTTCGACTCCCTCGAGCCTGGTTCGACTCCCTCGAAAATTCAGCCCTTTTGAAAATTGGCTTAGGGTTTTTTAATAGTTCTGATTTGTGCCTCTTCTTTGACACACGTTCCCAGACCATATTCGAACACTTCCGGATACTCCCTTTGGAGCATTGCGGATAGTCTCGTCGACTCAATGTCAGTATTTGCTGCCTGAACTTCATTGACCATAGTATCCAACGCGCTGCACATTCCCGGCGACTGATTTAACCAATTTAACCCCAATAGATTTGTGTCGCGCTCGCGCACGTGCACGTATTCCACGTATACAAAACCCTTGAGCCTGAACGAAACACGTGCTTGCCCTAGATCCCTTAAAGCGGACCCGTTTGCGCACAATATACGATTAGTGACTGCTTCCAGTTTTGGTTTACCAATCATAATCCACGTCTCTCTATTGATGAGAGTTATTTGACTGCCTGTGTCCAATTGAAATTCCACTTCTTTCTCATTGACCAGTACTCGCAGGTTCCGTTTTGTTTCATTCACGGCTCCGACAGTCAAGTTTTCGACTTCAACCACTTGAGTTCTTGTTGGTGGCTTCAGTTTCGTTTTTGCGAAGCAGTTTTGTGTTAAATGCCCAAGACGGTTGCATTTTTTGCAGAACAACTTGTTCCGATCAATCTTTCCTTTCTCATTTTTCTCTTGATTCTTTTTCTCATTTTTCACAGATTCTTTGTAGGACTTTTGTGAAATTTTTGAAACGACGACGTTATGATGCTTGCTGGTGGCGGTGACGACTTTTGATTGATTTTTAAGTTGAATAAATCTAATCCACTCGTCGTGTATTTGAGATAGTGTAATTTCCTCATTTTTCCGCTCTTTTTCCTCGCAAATTTGCATCAAAAACTGTTTTGCTGCGCCGTCATTTGTTTTATCTAAACCACGTAGGAATAGAAACACCCCCCAGTCGTCAGAAGTCATTTTCGATAGCTCAGCATTTTGCACTGCTTCGCCAATCCGATTAGTATATTCTAACGGATCTTCAAAAACTCCGGAGCTGCGGCTTATTTGCAAACAATCTTGTCGTCTGATAATTAGGCTACGATGAGATCCGAATATGACAGATAAAGCCTCAATCGTGTCTTTGAATTTCGTCTCATAGATGTCATCAACATCTCTTTGAGAATCTTTAAATCGATGGAAACTTGGTTCGTCAAGCGAACTGAGAAGTAGTCGTGTCCGTTCACGCTCGGTGAGCTCGGATCCGTCTTCGGTGAAAACCAGTTCGTGGCGTGCAATCCACTTCTTGAAAGAATCGGTTCGTCGAGTCTGTACACGAACTTGGGAATTCTTCGGGAAAGATCGTTAAGCAATCTTGCGTTCGACCTCCGTACTGTACTTCCCGTACCCCCAGCTACTGCCCTAGGCTGCTCCAGTTGGTCGCGCAGTTCTTGGTTTTGCTTCATTAACGACTGAGTGAAATCGCATTGCGCTTTTAATTGCTCTTGTATTTGTTGCAGCGTTACAACCAGCTCGGTTGTTGCATTATCTTTACCTGCTTGAGTACCTGGTGCTGAAGGATCACCCATCGTTTTTGTCCTTTTGATATCCTTATTGATCTTCACTCGCGGTTCTTCGATCTTCACTCATTTTTGGTCCATCGATCTTCACCTCCAACGGCGCTCTCGGCTTTCTGAATGTGATTCCAAGATCTACATCCACCACGACGGCTCTTTCGGTGCCGAATCTACGACACCGGGGAACGTCTCTTCCTCTTCCTCGCTCCGCTTCACACCAGACATCATTGTTCGATGGATCCAGCTTCGATCCATCTCATCCTGATCGCCACTGTTATGTCCTTATGGTGGCTATGAGACGAGGTTAATCTAATAGTTTATTTAAATAGAGAGAACCATTTAATACAGAGTTCAATAAGCTTATATAGGCAGTTGTTATCGCCACGTAGATCTGAGGGTTGACGTCATCCAGACAGTTCACGCCACAACATGAAGCGACGTTGACAAGCGATAAATCAGCTTAAAGTTGTTCAAATAATTTGAAACTTGGTCCTTTACTGATGAAATATTCAAATTTTTGCACACCGAATTTGGGCCCTTTACAACGTTTAACTCAAATTTTATGATAGTACGAACTTGTCTCTATTACTCGTCACCCTGTATTCATCTTTTTTGTTGTTTTTGGAAATTCCTTTGTGAAGAATTCCATTCTACTGTCGTCATATGTTTTCATTCAGAAACTAGAGATCTTGCAAACTAACAGTCCATATTTTCTGCTCTTGAGCACATCATAAGATATGTTTTGGTCTAACTTCTTTAGTAAAAAATCCTTATGATTGTTTTTATGCTGAATTAAATCCCACAGGTATACCTGACTACGGCTTTTTAATATTTTGGTCTCTCTTTCTCTTTCTCCTTCCACCGTTTTTCAAATCTATAATTTGAATTCTTTCGAATCCGACTTCCGTTTTTTTCTCACTTTCTGATAACAACGCTTTTCTGAGTAACTCGACTCCTCCTCTTCATTTCTGACTCATACTTGGCTTTTCGTAAATCCCTTAAGAAAATTCTTGTGAAAGTTAGATATTTTGTTCTTTTTGTCTTTTCTCTTCTCGTATACTATTGAACTTCTAAAAACCTAATGAGCAGTGTGTCTCGTCGAGCGAGATTCCGAATCCAGAAGATGCTCAACTCTGCTGTCGCTGTTGTCAACTCAACGACGCTTCGTCGTCGTTCCCACTTTGCTCGTTCTGCAACCACCAACAGTTATGGACCGATTCCAATTGATGGGGACAGTTCCATGCCACTCATGTATTCATCGCAAAGGTAAGCGATTTTGTTGAGTAGTTTGAGTTAATTTTTGGCTATTTTGACCATTTTCAGGAGCCTGGAGCTAGGCGGTCAAGTCTCCTATCGCTTTGAAATTTTTGGAGGATGAAAAAATGAGCTAGATTGACTTTGCATTTACATAACTATTTCAAAGTTCTGACTACTTCTTTCCTATTGCTCTGATGCTATTCTGCGCAAGGAAAACTTTTTTCTGGGACTTTTTTCTGAGTCTCTTTTTATGTGAAAACGTTTTTATGAATGTTGTTTAGCGACCAGGAAATTTCCATGACAATGGGCTCTCGCCTCACCAAAATTCCTTTTTCTTCCCTTTTTTTTTCGAAAATCTTTGGAATTTTATGGAAAACTTAATAACAAGTTATCGAGATTACTGTAGAATTCAATTGTTTTTGAAGTTTGGATTTCTTTGTTTTTGAAAAAAAAGGAAAATAAGGGGTACATAAATCTTTTGAGAATACTCTCTAATTGTTATGATAACCCAACTATATAACCACAAGGTAATTATTATTATTCGCATTTTTTCAGATCCAACTCAACTACCAGTTCTACCAACTCGATTGTATCGATTCCAGGATTGGGAGCTGTAACCAATGTAAGTCTGTAGTTGAGGGATCTTATCGGCCACCCTATCCGCCAGCCCATATATCTTATTCCAAAGTAAAAGATATAAAATACTAGTCAACTTATAAAATGTTTATCATAATATCAAAAATACTTTATCAGTCAATCACTTGTTGATATATCTTTCAGGAAACGAGAAAATTCAGCTCAAAGTTGACAATTTGGATGAGCTTCTATTACAGGTTTTACATTATCTTTTTTAGCTGATCCAAGTCAGATCTCTTGAACAATCAATGGAAAACGAATTGAACTCGATCACTCTGTGTGAGGTCAACGAGAAAGGAGAAGTAGTTTCGGAGCATCCAAAACCAGAGAAAAAGAAGGAAGAATCGGCACTTCTCAAGCGATTCGTCAAAATCGCCGAGTACATGTATATCACTGATAATCGTGCTCTTCTGGACGGAGAGGAGTTGGACGAGGCCGGAATCACTCATGTCATCGTGAGTTTTGAAATTACACTATTTGAAATTGCTTTTTTGATTCAGAGTCTTGGTGATGATTATCCATTGGGGGTTTCCGTAACCAAGAAGGAAGGGCGTCTCGTTCTGGTTCCACTCACTCTTTTCCATGAGACTGATGTCAATCCAAGTCAGCAATTCAAGGTATTTGTTGACGTAAATGAAGTTCTGGGAATATATGTACGTCTTATTTTAGAATCTCTCTTCTAAATTCGACAACATCAACATGTTTGTCGAGAACGCGCGCAAACTCTCTCAAAAAGTGGTAATCTACAGCAAGAATATCCAATGGGGATACTTTGTGGCTGCCGAGTACAACGTCGAGTATGTTTTTTATTTTGTAACAAGTAACCAATCTTCTTTTTCAGCTACTACCAACTCGATCCAGCAAAAGCACTGCATCATCTGCAGAAGCTGACTGGAGACCACTGGGTCGATTTGCCGGAGAAGTGCATCAAGCGACTGAACGAATGGAGAAAGCTCGGAGAGCAGAGAAGAGCCAAGTCACCAACTGAGAGAAAACTAAGCATCTCCATCAACAGCATCTCCAGATAAATTATTGATTATCGTGTTCTTCATTGTCACCATTTATGGTCCATTTGTCTAAATTTTCAATCTTCTGTAATCTGAATAAAAATGTATTTTTTTGGGAGATCTAAATAGGAGATCTATGATCCCATGCATATGATCCCATGTTTCAAGACCCACTACCGACGTAGCCATGGTTACCCAACAGTCATCTGGAATTCTTCCGAATTCCAGATTAAAGGAGCACGCGGTGACTACTTTCGCCAGTAATGAATCTCCAACTAGGGAAATTTAAAAAGGGTCTTAATCTGGTCAGTATGACAAGACTAGAGACTAGAAACCTAACGGTTTGAAGATCCACTACCGATGTAGCCATGGTAACCCTCAGCCATCTGGAATTCTTCCGAATTGCAGACGAAAGGAACACGCGGTGACTACTTTCGTCAGATATTCTCTACTCACTATTGATATTCTCGATTGCTGACTCCAATAAGACCATCAATCCAACGAATGGAAATCTTATCTAGAAATTTTGAAAATTAAAAACCGCGCTCAAATTAAAAGTCTTTTAAACCTGATGTTTCATCGAGACAGTTGGAAGAAAGAAGAGAGGAGTGGGGAGTAGAGAGGAGAGGAGCTTTCTGTCAAAGCTGGAACTGATTGTTTTCTTATCTGATATCTGATCATCGACAAATCGCCACGTCAGTTGAAGTTAGTAGAGTATGTTATGGTGGCAAGTTCAGGTCAGGTCAGGTCAGGTCAAAATACAATTTTAGAAATCCCGTGGTCTGGAAGAACACGGAGATATGATTATTGAACTTGGTGAAATATTGTATCCAAATCAGTTGACCTATTTTCATATTGACGTCAAAATTGATAGATTTTTCTTTTTAGATTGAAAAAAAAGATTTCAAAGATTTTAAAGATTTTAAAGATTTTAAAGATTTAAAAGATTTTAAAGATTTAAAAGGTTTTAAAGATTTAAAAGATTTTAAAGATTTTAAAGATTTTAAAGAAGACTATTAGCGACTACTGTACTGTTACTGTAGTGCTCGGCAGGGTTGAGCGGAATTCCGTCTTCCGTCTTCCGTTTTCCGTTCCGTGGATTTCCTTCTTCCGTCTTCCGGTTTCCGTCTTCCGTCAAAAAAATTTGTTCCGTTTCCTTCATCCGTCTTCCGTGAAGCGAAGTTGTATTCCCGCTCAACACTGGTGATCGGTGAAAAGTCGCAGCAGATATACATCAACTAAGGTGATCCCAACAGATGTGCAGTGACTACACTACAGTACTCAAATTTTAAACCAGTACAAACTTGAGTCTTGCTAGTCACCCTGTAATAGTGAGACATGAAAGGAAATGTTTCAAAAAAAATTGCACTTTATCATCGGAAAATATAAATCATGAGATATTTAGAAAAAAAATGAAAGGAAGATGTAATTTTTATGACTCGGACTTGGTTCTGGGACCTCTCAACTGAACACTCGACGACCGTTTGATTTGTGGTTTCGTTGATAATCTCTGTTTTATTCTCTCGTACTCCAACCATGCATCGTGTTCGATTCGTCGAATCGCTTCTTTTGATTTCTTCTCTGCTAGAAGATTTCGTTTCCAATGAGGTATACCTTCCTGTTCAAACTGATCACGGAAGTATTGCGGGGAGTAGTGCTCTTTTGCTGTTTCAATTGTTTCTAGAGTCTGGGAACAAAAAAGTTTATGTTATGATTTGAATAAAAAGTGGGTACCTTTCTGTACGTTCTCTCTATTTCTAATCGATTTCTCTCCTCCTGAATCGTTTCTCTGGTTGGCTTTGCGTCAAGCTTGGGGATGCGCTTGATATCTGAAAGTTTAGTTTTTTTTAACCGATTTTTTCCAATGATTCAAGAACATACCAGTACTATACGGTATTTCTGGAAGATCATCTACTGTAATTTCAGGAGCATATGGTTTGAAAGTCAAATTGAATCTTTCCACTTTCTTTTTGAGCTCATCGAATGGAATCGAAGCCTCGAAAAGTACAGTATCCAATTCATCCAAAACTTCTTCCACCGTGTTTCGGCGGCCTCCTAATTGAGGTGTCCCTTTTGATGATGACCTGAAAGATGAAGAAATACATGTTTCGAAATTGAAAACAACAAGAAAAATGCCTACGTCAGGTGTGCTTCTTCCTTGGAATAGTCGACTGATGAGGGGCGATGGAAAACGTCACCAATCACTTTGTAGTCTTTCTCTGAAAATATTTTTATTTTTAGGTGATGAGGAAAAGTATTGTTAATCAATTGTTTCTCTCTTTGACCAATATTTTAAAGGGATTAAAGTATAAACTCACCCTGAGGCACTCTAATCGTATAATCAATCGGTGGTTCGGGAGGCGGTACATAATGCAGAAACTGTTGAGATTTCCTGATTTCAACCGAATCTTGATTCGGAAAAACCCTTCTTCCGAGACGTTTTGGTTGGGAAGAAGACGAGTTTGACGAAGACATTTCAATGTAAACTCTGGAGCTGATAGGAATGGAATATTGAAGGAAGCGAGAAGAAAAAGAGGAGGAGAAGGTTATCAGTTAAAATGAAGAACAAAAAGAAAACTGATTAGAAGGAGTACTCAACAAGTTGTAGACCGAAGAAAGGCGACAGGTTGCAAAAGAGCACGGAGCCAGTCATGGGGGTGGTCGACATCGTGACCTACTGTTTTATGGGTGAGAGAAAAAGAAGAAATGGTAGCTAATTTTTAGTTTTTGATTTTTTTTTTCCGAAATGATGATTCGATAGGTTTTATATTAAAAGAAATTGTTGCGATTTTCTGAAAATGAAACAAATAAGGAATGGAAATTGAATAAATGATTTTGTCTGTATGAACGTTTTCTGATACCGGGAAATATTTCAGGATCAGAGTTTTTCCGTCGGTCTGAATCTGTTTGGGCAGGGGACAACATTCCAACTGTCAAGTTTTCTGAAATCTAATATTTGGAAGGTTTTGGAAATAGTTCATTTTTTCTAATTCAATAAGAGCCCTTCTTTTTTTCCGGTCATTTCTTCCGACAATTTCATTCGAAAATCCGGTGAATTCTCACATGAAAATTTGCCAGTTTTCGAGCAAAATATTGCAACACATTTATCTGAAATTGTGAAATTTCCGGAATATATTTCACTGAAAAAATACGGAAGTTTTTAATTTCAAACAGCACAATGAATAGGGAGGCCTTCTAGGGGCTCTTCTGTTGGATGGGTCATTCTAAAATGATACTGTAGCAATTCTATTACAGGTTTCACGATATGTTGTATGGAAGATTATGACCAATGGTTTGCTTGACCGCATCTAGGACCACAAACTTATAAAAGAAGTTTTCTCTAGATGAAAAAAATGAGTTTCGTGCTTAACAGGTAAAACATTTTAAAAGCTGAACACACTCACATAAAACCTCACATCTTAAAACAACAATTCTAAATTTTTATCAATTTACCCTTTCAAAAAGGCGTTAAAATGCAACGGCTTATCGTTTTGGAATGACCCTCCTTCTTTCGAAACCACACTCTTTAAAATTTGATTACTGTAAAAAAGGACACAAAGTGGAAGAAGTTTATATTCGAAAACATAGATCATATCGAATCAAAAACCACTCATACCCATAGATATCCAAAATGGAACATGAGGCAAAACGAGAGAAAAAGAGCAACAAACAAACAAGAGTGGAGCTCTAAAATGCGGTAGTGTTATCAATATATTCGGACGGTGCAAACGATAGATTGTTGAAAACGAAACAAGCATAAGGAGAAGGAGGAGAAGTGTCGAAAATGGGTAAACATATTCCTTGGCACGGCGATTCGTTTTTATGGCATACCTGGGTAAAGAGGGGAGAGAGAGAAGGAGCTGAATATAAATGAGAAGGTAGTAAGGAGGAATTGCAAAAATTCATATCGAGGGGGATTCGATTACAATTGTTTATTGAAAAAGTTGTATAGTTTATTAGGATGGGGACTTTCAAGGTACTGGTATACAGAGGGGCGCACAATTACCCAGACTGATAAAAACGGCATAACTTTAGACATAAGTATCATGGAAGCACGAAAATTGGTAGCAGTATAATTTTACGTTTGAATGGAAGCTACTGATATTTTCAAAGCGATTCCTCAAGTCTAGGTATTGTTATGATTGTCCAAAGATGAAATGTTTCTTGGGCGCCGTTGTGAATTTCATGAGATGGAGAAATTTTCACAAGCGATAACTCAAATCAAAGTTGATAAAATAGTTTGAAACTTGGCTAGTTTACTGATGAATTATGAGTTTTCGCACTCCAAACTTGAGCCTAGTAGAGCGGCTTCATTAAAATTTCATGTTATTATAAACTTTAGTCCGGGAAAATTATGAACCACCTTGTAGGAGGAAAACGCATTCTGAGTTTCTGAGTATTTGAATTTCTGAATGTTTAAATTTTAGTTTTTTATGCTCGGACTTTCGAGTGTTTGAATTTTCGAATTTTAGGAATTTGCTGGAATTGAGTTTTCGTATTTTAGATTTTTCTGAATTTCTGAATTTTTAGCTTGGAATTTTTGAATTTTTTAAAATTTGAATTTCTGAATTTCAAAATTTCCGAACTTGAGAATTTCCAAATTTCTGAATTTGGATATCCTGAGAACCATCCGAAAATGTTGCATCATTCTAATCACCCATTCTTCGACGGTTTGTTTCAATTGGTCTTGCTTTCCATGAACGCTTTGGTACCATTACAATTGTACCACTAATAGTCCTTATCGTACCACATCGCTCAGAATTCACTGATTTTTAGAAACCACATTATTCTAGTCTCGAAGCAGAATGTTTCTTTTAAAGGTGGGGGGACATGAAAAAAAATAATGTTCTCGAAATTCCGTTCAAAGATGCCTCTCGAGGAGTTGAACTTGCGAGGGCGATGATTGAGGGTGCGGCGCCGCTACCGACTGAGCCACGCGGGCAAAGAGAAAGCGCACGCCCGATTGCATACATAAAGGCTGTACGCAGAGTGACATTAAGCGTTGTACACCGTGACGGTAAAATGCATACTCTAGCTACAAAAAAAACTACAAAAAATCTCCTGTCCCCCCACCTTTAAAAATTCCCTTCTCTTCAATCATTTTTTGCAACATTCCCAATGACACATATATCTCCTCCCAAGTCCAATTCTTATATTTCTCGTTTTCTCTAACTCTCTTTTGGAATCGTTTTTCTTCCGTCTCAACAGAGCAGAACCCTTTGCCTCTTCTTTCTATTTTTCACACTTGTCCTCTTGTCATGTTTTGTTTGAACAATGACCTTCCATTAGGTCATTCAATGTGATCATCGCACCTAATTATGATCTTTATAAAAACAATTTTTCTTAATTTTTTGTTTTCAGTTTTTCTTCCCAAATGTCTCTTCCAAAAATTTATCTGGATAATAATGCAACAACTCCGTTGGATGATCGAGTGAAAACTGCTATCTCGGATGCTTTGGATCTCTGGGCAAATCCTTCGAGCAACAATGAGAATGCACTGAACGCAGCGAAAGCGATTCTGGAGTCCAGGAACCATTTGGCAGAAATGTTTCATGTGAAGACAGAAGACGTCGTGTTCACTTCTGGCGGCACGGAGTCTAACAATTGGGTCATTGAAGGAGCGATTCGAAGTGTAAGGAAAAATGGAAAGAAACCTCATGTTGTTACAACCAATATTGAGCATCCGTCGATTATAAATCCACTGCAGAGAAGAGAAAATGATGGAGAAATTAGTTAGTTCTCTGGTAACATTTGAATTCTAATCTGTTTCATTCCAGCCGTAACTTATGTATCTATCAACCCATTAACGGGTTTCGTCACTCCTGAATCTGTTCTCCAGGCTGTTACTTCTGACACGTGTCTGGTCACTGTCATGTTGGCGAATAACGAAACTGGAGTTCTGCAGCCAGTTTCTGAAATCTGTCAATTGATTCGAAACAAGTTCAAAGAAAATTCTCCATTTCTACATTCAGATGTCGCACAGGCGGCTGGAAAGATTCCAATCGATGTCAAATTGCTTGGTGTTAATGCGGTTACTGTAGTTGGTCATAAGTTTTACGGACCACGAAACGGAGCGTTGATTTATAGTTCAAAATCTGCTAGACTTCCACCAATGGTGTTAGGTGGTAATCAGGAATCAGGATTGAGGAGTGGGTAAGTGATTTGAATTCATGATTCATATTTAATTCCAAATCTTTAGAACTGAAAACACACCGATGATAGTTGGATTGGGAGAGGCTGCTAGAATTTACAATGAAGGATCCTCGAATATTGAGAGTGTGCTCACTCAAAATAGAGACTACTTTGAAGAGCTTTTAGTGGTTCGTATAAAATTTTCAATCTGATTTGGATGTAAAGTTTTCAGAAACGTCTTCGTAATTCTCACTTGATTCATTTCCTCGGATCACCTCGTCTTCCGAATACTTCAAGTGTTGCTTTCTTGGATTACCCTTCTCACGGTTGTGATCTTCTGGAAAAGTGAGATTCTAAATGTTTTCTATTCTTGTCCGGCGGCGATGAATTAGGTGGCCGAAATTTTAATTAAAGGCACATCGTCAGCCCTGTAGCGAAAATATTATCCTTGTCAGAGAAAAAAAAGGTTGAGTCGAAGTTTTTGAAAAAAATGCATGCGCCTTTGATACCGTATCTCGAAATTAATTTATTTTTGCCTATTTCTCTCAGATTTTTGTTCTTTTTCATTGATTTTCTTCCAATTCTCATGAATAATCAGCCAAGTTGTTTTCTTATAAAGTAGAAAAACAGCTAAAAATGGACCAAAGTAAATTATTTTTGAGATACGGTAGCGAATGCGCATGCACTTATTCAACAAAAAAATAGCCAGACAAGAATAATAACCCTAATATTTGCTAATTTTAAGGTGTCAAACATTCAATGCTTCAACTGGTGCCGCGTGCCATAAAAACGAATGTAGTCCCATTTTGAAAGCATGTGGTATCTCGTTTGCTCTAGCATCGAAAACTGTGAGAATCAGTTTTGGAAGATCTACAAAACTGGCTGAAATTGAGACTGTCGTGGATGAGCTTGTGAAGTTGTGTTCTTCAGAAAACAAATAAAATTTTTTATTAACATTAACATAAATTAATGAATATTCTACTCTTGCTACAATCCTAATATTTATGACGAATCAGCCCTTTCATCATATCGAAAGTGTTTCCATCATCACCGATTGAGAAGATTTTGTTTGGATTCGACTTGCTTCGCACTTGCAAGTAGCCATTTTCATCTATTCCTCGAATTGTGACTCGTTCGTTGAAATCTGACAACAGGACTTCTTGCTGTCTGAAATATAACTTTTTGGGAATTTTTCTGAAAACCAAAAAACTTACGAATGCAGCCAGTACTCGTGGTATTTTCTTCTGAAGTTCTCGGGACCATTGCTGTCGTAATCCCTTATGTAATCTGACAATTGGAGAACTCCTCATGATAAGAAAAAACAACTAATCTTACAAGTGAACTTGTTCAACGTCTCCGCAATCAGTTGTTCTCTTGTGATCCTCGTTTCTGCTTCTTTCGGCAACATATCATTCAAACAAAGCGTTGGCTTCTCATTCGACACATTCATTCCACACCCAATGCTTAATTGGAATGAGTCGTCTCTTGATTTGCATTGTAGAAGCATTCCTCCGACTTTGTGAGACCGATCACAGTACAAATCATTCGGCCATTTGATGCGAAGTGGGAAATCTGGATAACCAGATAGATTTCGAACTGCTTCAACGAGTGCCACACAGAAGATGTGCTGGACTATGGGCAGATTCTTGGTAACTCTATGCGCCTTTTTGAGAGTGAATGAGAAATTGAACATCGCCATTCCACGTGGGCAAAGAAATTCGTTGCCTCCTCGGCCTCTTCCTTGAATCTGTCGATTTGCAATGACTACAATGTTCTCCAGTGATGGGATCCCATGAGTAACACTGAAAATATTAGACTTATGAGAATCATTAATTTCTGGAAAACCTTTCAATTATATCCATAGTTGTAGTTGCCACATCCACTACCAAAATGACTTGACCTAGTTTCGACCGCAACTGATCGAAATAGAGATTCAAATCAAACTCCTTACTAGTCCCTGCTTCTGATTCTCTGTTAACAACCTCGATTGGCAATAGTTTTGCAGTGACTTCAGGTAGTCCTAGATCTTTCACATCGTCTGATTTCCGAAGCAGAATGCGTGGTTGTAATCCAATTTCTTCACCGAAACGAATTCCAGATGTTGATTCAAGAATCGAATCGTATTCAGCCAGTAAAATCCCTTTCGTTAATGCTGGAATTGAAGTTTCGCACACACTGACGCCAACACTTTGCAGAGAATCTCGTAAAAGATTACTGTCTGAAAAAAAAACAGAATTAGATAGTATCGGTCAACGATCATTTACTTGGAGCTATCAGTTGTTGAGTTGTCGCATCAGAGAACAACGCAGAAGCATGTAAACTTCCATTGTTTTGCATATACAGGAATAATGGAGCATCTGGTTCTTTTTTGAGCACCACCGTAAAATTTGCACCAACACTGACATCTTTCGAACGGAATGTTTCGTTGATTGCGTGTGATTTTGGAAGTTTTTTCATGTTTTTTTCGAGGAATTTCACAAATTCTTTGTTTGTTTCTTTTAGTTTACTACTTTGATTTCCGAATGCAAAACGAAGGATAGAAGCATTCGTTTTGCTCGAATCCGATCCAGCAATACTTGCAAGAAGTTTGTTCTGGCAAACGAAAATTATTTTGCCGTTCTGATTGAAATACGCTTGAATTTTCTCCCATGCATCATCGTCCAAGTCGTTGGTAGAAGCAAGAATCACACAGACCTGCAAATATAATTCGAAAAGTTACTTGAAGCAAAAAATCTTACTGTCGATTTCTCCGCCCATGGTTGTTTCCTTAAGGCCTCGATTGATACATTGAAAACAGTAATTTCATCAGCTGGTAAAAGAGAATTGAGACGGCTCCGAATGTCGGAATACAGCGTGGTATCTCCTCCAGTGTAAACGAGCACCGAGTTGGGTTTGCACATTGCTTTGAACGAGGAACTTCTCGATGTTAGGAATTGATAGAGTTGCACGTGTCGAGCGGTTGAATTTCGCGTTGATCCGCGATTCGCTGAAATTAAGAACTTGTTGAAAAGAAGGCCACAGGATAGAGCGGGAGACCTAAAAAAGGAATTTTACGCTACATCGAAATGCCGCATGACCTTGTCAGAGGCGACCGTTTACGGCAGATTGTTGCTTTCTTGGCGGTCGTTTGATTCTTATCAAGAGTTATTAAAAAGGGGAAAAATAAGAAAAACTTACGATTTACAGCAGAAGTGAATCCACGGAGCGATCGATTCTGATAATGCTCGAACGACGGACTGGCAGACCGTCCTCGGTCGCCTGTAAATTGAGCAATGTGCTTGACATTGCGAAGAATTTTGTGCAAGTTCATCGTAACAATAAACAAGAGGAACAGCGG